CATCTTCTGGCTCTTCCCCAAATTCAAAATGACCATGAAAGGTAAATGTTTTGAATCAATTCAGGACACTGAGGCAGCCATGACAGCGCAACTAAAGACACTCAGGAAAGAAAACTTCCAGAACTGCTTCAGAAAGTGGCAAGAACGATGGGATAAGTGTGCTTGAAGCGAGGGGGATTAATGGCAAAGGGTCTTTTGCTGTAATAAAAATTCTTTTAAGCATTCACTGTATTTTTTATCACACCTCATATGCATGCACACCCATGTTTAATTTTGCTCTGAAACAATCTCAAATTTACAGACTAATTGTAGGACTATACAGAATGATTTATTTTTCTGAACTACATGAGAGTGAGTTGCTAACATTATGTCCCGTCATCCATAAATACAAAGAACATTCCCCTACATAACCACAGTGAATCTTCCATAAAATTTGGAAATTAACATTGATACTCCATTACCACCTCATCCTCTGATCCCATCAAGTTTTGCCAACTGTGCCAATAATGTCCTTGATAGCAAAATAACCAGTTCAGAATCACAAATTGCTGCTAGTTCTGACTTTCTAGTCTTCATCAGTCTGGAACAGTTCCTATCGTTTCTAGATTTGTATGAACTTGACAGTGGGACCAGCCATTTTATAGAATAACTCTCAATTAGCTGATGTTTTCTATTGATTGAGATTTCAGTTAATTCTATTACTGATGATATTTACTTTGATCATTTGATTAATTCATCTGATGTCTCTACTATGAGATTACTCATTTTCTCTTTGTGTTTAGTAAGCATTTTTTGGAACAAAATTTTATATAAATATCCCATTCCTCATCAAACTTTTAATTTATCCATTTACTTATTTATATTAGTATGGACAAATGGTTTCCTGTTTTATTCAATGGGTTATAATCCTTTGCTATCGTTATTTGTTTTGATTCTCAGATTGTCCTAGGTATGACCAGTGGGAATCCCTTGCCCCTTTGAGCTCACCCTTGTGTCTTTCTGACATGTCCCCACCATGTTTTGAGCATTTCTTTATTTTTGGCACAAAAAGATATTCCAGGCTCATCTTATACTTTCCCTTCCACAGCCCTGGAATTAAGACATTTCTTCAGGGAGTCCTGGCTCCTTTTAGTGGGAAATGTTATGTAGAAACCTAGATTTGGGCACTAGATGTGTTTGTTCCCTGCTACTTGGGTATCGCTGACCCCAGGCCCTTTCCATGGATCGAGCCAGGTATTACATCACACACACAGGCACCCACAATACACACTTACATCTCTATTTCTTTCCATATTTATCACATATAATGAAAGCCATGGATTCATACCAATGGCTCTAATTCTAATCCATCATAGGAATCATTCCAGTTTCCTCTCTTTACATATTTGTAACTATACTCTACAAACGTGAAAAATCTTGCCCTATTTTTTTACTATATTGACTTATTCATATGTAAGCTATCTTTGGTCAATGCCCTACCTCTCTATTCACCTAGATGTCCTCCTTGCCCTGCTCAAATACTGACATCCAGGGCTAGCTCACCACTGTTCACCCACCCCCAACAAAAATGCCAAACCCAACCCAGGCTCAAACACCGCAGTGCTGGGCCTCTGCTGCTGACCCCTTTCCCACGTGGATCCCTCTAGATCCCACTACGGTTCTGACATCCAGTGCCCAGCCACCGCCACCACTGTCACATGCAAACAACATCCTCATCCCTCAGGCTCCGAAACCCTCCGCCAGGCTACTGTGGGTAGATGCCCTCCTCACCCCTGCCATCCCTTCCACAGGGATGCCCTTGTGGCCTGTTCAGGGTCTGATAACCATGCTGGGCCGATGGCCCAGACAGACACCCTCAGCATGTAGCTCAGGCTCTGACGTTCCATGCTAAACCGTCATGGTCGCCTGCCGGCGCCCTAATTGAAGCCTACCATGCCCAACCTTCACAAAGACTTCTGGACTTGGGAAGGGGGTTCTGTGTTTTTAATAAAAGCTCTTTCTTCCTGTTCTGATGCCCCACACCTTGCAAACAATTTAGCCAGGTGTAGGTGGACTCCCTATCATCTATGTGATCATTCCTTTAACCAGAAGAAATCTAATAAAAAGAGTCCCAGGTACAGGGGAAACAGACTCCACTCAAACATGGCACTGGTCTCCGTCTCCAACACGTCAAAAGGCAGATCCTTACTAGGGCTATGGCCCAGGGGACTGGTGCGCCAATTTTACAGGGCAATAATCCTGTCTGCCCTACGAGTAGGCTGTACCTACCTGTATCACAACACATGGTTTTAAAAGTCTACTAAGTTGGGTTTTTTTTTTAACTGACTAGAGCATAAACAAGGGAGAAAAAAATATGTGAGTCAACCTCTAATTCTAAGACTGTTAAGAGCTTACATGTTATACAATTCTATTTACTAAAGACATCTCTTAAATTTGAGTGGAAACCTGAATGTTTCATTCACTAAAGTGAACTATGACTCAGAAATCAATGAAGAGACCCAAGGTGGCCTCCTAACTCATTCATCAAAGAGTAAATCACTGCTTTTATGAAAGAACTCCCTGACACCTAAGCGTCCTCTCAGAGTGAGCACAGTGATCCAGGAAGCTGTTTCTGTTAGCTGTTCCTTCCCTTTACTGTGATGTCTGGAATACATTTGCCAGGGAGTAAATCTAACTCGAAGGAAAGAGTCACCCATTACACACACAATTTCCACCTTTTCTCCAAAACAGCATTTCCCCAACTGTGGTCCAGGAAACACTGGTATCTCATAATGTTAATATCAGTCAACGAATAAAAAGGGTTTGGGGCCAAATGAGACGGAAAGCCCTGAGTAACACAGATTTCTTCACTGCAGGACTTCTCAGAGCCTACACCACAGGAATCTTAGGGAGACAAAAATGAAACACAGCGTTCCCTCCCCGACCCCAATATTACTGAACTATGGTACTGTTTTTATGGATCGTTTCTCAAAATTAATGTTCCACAGACAATATGAGGGGATATTTTTCTCTAACATTTAATAATAAGGTATCACTTTAATTAAAAAAGACTATTTACAAAAAGGAAAATATAAGAAGTTAGATATATGAACAAATATTTAACTCACTAATAATAAAAAACATGCAATTAAAACAACGTGACTTGTTCGCTTGTGAAATAATGAATTCAACAAATAGTATTGGTGAGAATATGATGACTTAGGTTAGAGAAGGGTATCTTTTAAGAAAACAGTACAGTTCTTTTGGAAAGCAGTTTGGCAAATGTTCTAAGAAGGTTTAGGTCCACTGACCTTACAATGGCTCATCTGAGATTCTACTCTAAGGAAACAATTCAAAATGAAGAAAATGCTTTATGCTCAAAGATACAAATGGCTGTAATTATAATAATGGGGGGAAAATCCCAAATAATAAAAACTCCCAACAATAGGGAAATGTTTCAGTAAATCAAGTTATACAATACAATGCTATGCAGCCATGAAAAATATTCACAACATGGGGGAAATGCTTTGGTTATTATGGTACCTGGTGAAAACATGGTAAACAGGTGGGCTACAGAAGTCTAAATAAACACAGCCCCAGGGACCCTTGACATCCATGGAAGACACGCTAGCATACTATTTCTTCCAAAAGTACAGTGAGGTATAGCTGAACTTTTTAAGTCATTTTCAGATCCTTAAAATAATACTGTAAGAGCACAACAAAGCTCTTATTGAAATGGGAACTCGGGACAGCTGGCTAGGTCACTTGTCTCACTTGTCAGTTAAGCGTTTTAGTCACAAATCTCAGCTTCGCAGCATGACACGAGCAATTCATATTTGTGTCTCAGCAAAATTATAATTTAATACATGTCATGAACTCTCAGGGCTGCCTGGAACTATTAGATATTGGGAATATTAACTCTGTGAATGCTACGGGTCTATGTATTATTTATTTAACTCAAAAAGTAGAGGAAGAAAACATCCCAAAATACTAGCAACACCTATTTTTGGGGGGTCGGGGCAGGTAGAACATGATGGAGTGATTTCCTCTTACTTCCTACTATTTTCTGAATTTCCCAAACTCTCTATAATGGGCGTACATTACATTTTTGGTAAACATTCTGGTGAAATATAAAGCATGTATTACTTTTATAATCATAAAAGTTAAAGTTTACTTGTTAAAAATAATAAAAGATAAATACCTGTCCTTTTGTCGTGTAATCTGCCAAGATGTTAAGTAGCTTATAAAATACTTCGAACCACGGGAGATAGCTGGGGAAGAAGAGGAAACACATGAAATATTAATATGCAGGTCAAAAACTTTAACCAGGAGCAAATTCGAGACTGGTACATTTCGGGTTTTCTCTACATCCTAAAGAGACTTCCTGTCATAGGCTGTGCTGGAAACACAGACTGTTGAAAACACTAATTATTTCTGGGATTTTAAAAAACTGCCTGGATAAAGACAGAGGATTGAATGTTCATTATAAATTATTCCCATGCCTCAGAGCTAGAACAGACATTCAAAGCAGACTCTGCAATCAGGAACCATCTCTGAGTAGCCCCCGCAGGCCTCTCCCACCACACCCACCCTTTCCAGGAGAGCTTCTATTCAAGTTTCTCATGATTGGACACACACAGCAGCACACACAAACAGCACTTCCACTGCTGGCAGCTGCAAGGTGTCCCAAAGGCCCTGTGAGCCTGAAACCATTTATACTGTTACAGCAAACATTCTACCTAAAAGGCACCCTTCTCCATACTTCCAGTGGGATGAGCTCTAACGCGCCCACCCCACTGCCCTTCACCAGATCCCGACCCTCAGGCCCCTGAACTCTGACGACAGCCTGGACCTGACCGCAGTCCATCCTCTGTGTCGCTATTAGAATGGTCTTTCTAAAATGCAAACCTACGGGGCACATGGGATAAAATTCCTGCAGTGCGACCCACGGCTACAGGACTTCTGAGGATGACATCTGAGGCTCTCCACCGCCAGGCCCTGGACTACCTCTCTGGATGTCTTCTTTCTACTTTCCCCACATGCCTACTCCTCTCATTGCAGCCTCACTCCACGAACATGCAGGCATCCTCAGAGGCCTCAGCCTGCGTACACGTGGCCCCCTTCTCCCTCTGACCTTCATGGTCTAGCTGATTTCTACTCATCCTCCTAACACCCCCCCACACCCGCCTCTTATGCCCTAATTCCCTCTTTTCCACGCTGTCCTGGGTGTGCGCCTACTCCTGTTATAACATGCACACCATGTGGCACTCAGTGGTGTGTCTGGCTTCCCGACAGACTGCACGCAGACAGAGAGAAGGATCCCGTCTTTCTTCACTTGGTCTCCCAGGGCCCAGCATAAAGGCCGGCATACCATCCGTGCTCAGGGGTGACCGAACAAACAAAACTAAACAAAGACTAACAGCGAAGGCACATGAGTGCGACAGAACTGTTGTTGAAATGTGTCCCCACTCCCAAGAAGTTTTGTCACTTAATTTAAATGGCTTTGTTCTCCAGAAGAGACTTTCCAAAGCGATGTCAAATAGTAGTGCGGGAAAAGTGTCGTACAGAGCGCTTCTGTCCTGCTCACGTCCGCCTGTTCCTGACAGAGCTGGACACGGAGGAGAGCGCTGATGCCGTCCGCCTCCATCCTGCCGGGCAGGGGGAGATCAGCACCCTGTCCAGATTACCAGCTGTGCCGCCGAGGGGAATAAATGAAGTGAGAGGCAACAGAGAGGACAGATAAAGCGCACAGTCCTCTGTCACGAACGTCTGTCTGAAGCCAGCACGTGCTACTGTAAAATTTAAGTAGCTTATCAAAATATGCTGATAAGCAACTTAACTTTTCACTTCTATGACAGTATTATCGCTTATGTTAATACGTTTCCATCAGCTCTGGCAGCTGCATATTGACTATTACACAGCAAATGACTCCAGCCCCTTTACACAGCATTTACTTTGGCAGAGCAATGTAAACATTCAAGAGGGATTAGGGAGGAGAGAGATAAGTTTCTCCCTTCCTATTCTGTTAAATAAACCTCAGCTGAGTTAAAAGCCATTATCGTGGCAACGATAAATCCCCTCGGAAGAAAACTCTTGCCCAGATGAGGGGACTCTTAGTAAACAAATTCAACCCAAGATTACAAATACTTTTTTTTTTCCTGAAAGAAAAAAAAAATCATTGCCACGAGTTAAACCTAGCAACTGAAAATCCGGAAGGAGGAAAATAAAAAAGGAAGAAGAGAAAATATTTCCTTGCAAGGAAGCTGTGGCCCCAGGTAAATGAGAGAAAAGTTGAACTCACTTCAGGAATACTCGATGAAGCGACTTGGGGCCAGCTGGATTCTCTGAAAGTTTAGGGCTGCAGCACCGAGGGAAGCGGTGTGGACCCCTAGGTCCGACTGAGCAGCGTAGCTTGGGCCCGGAACCCCAGGCCTCCACGTCTTCCCCTGCCATGGGGCTGGAGTACTGTGACGTGGCAGGACTGCCTGGCCCACAGCAGACAATGCCAGCTTCTCACACTCAGCCTCGGCCTCACCAAATCGATTCCTTTTGGCTACGCTCAGCAGAACCCTCAGCCATGGGAGGTTTCACAGTTACCCTGGAAATCAGCCATTTCTCTCTCCCTTTGGCCTGACCGGACACAACTGTTCTCCACATGTTGTCCCCTGTGCACTGACAGATGAATATCTAGTGATGGCAGTGTTAAGGTCTTGAAACCAAAACCCAGCTGTCTTCTTCTTCAAAGGATCCCTCTTTTCCCCTGGTGGGAGGCCAGGGTTCACAGCTGAACTCTATCCAGTGCCGTTTCCTGTACTGCTTCATTAGTCTGACACCACAGCCCTGCGCTGCCTGCGACGTTGCAGGTGAGGGGATGGGGACCCGCCACACCATTTTGTGCTTGTCTGTCATCATGGAGTAAACATTACTTCCCAGTCCAGAGACAGGAAACAAACAGTCCGTTATGCGGCTCCCCCCTTAGACACTGTGGAGCTCCGGACACCCCTGGGCCTGCCCCACTTGCTACCTTTCTGCAACCGCTCGAGTCTTCACCACAGTATCACTGTCCAAGGCTGGGGCCAAAAAGACAAAGACAAAGGATCCCCGTACGCAAGCAGGCCGTGGTCCTCGTGGGGGAAGAGCCATACATCCAACAAAGCGTAAGCATTTGGGTCCAGAGGAGCTAGGACTCTTTCCCAAGTACTTTATTTAGCTTAGGCTTTTGATAGATTTATAAAATGATAGTTGATAATTATAAAGTTATCATGACCCAATCAGCAGAGCGTTGACGGGGAAAAGCCTGCTTCTCAGGCACCGGCCTGGGTCCAAGCTTCGCTCACCAAACTGTCTCAGGTAACTTTGTCCCAGGCTCTGCCTTCACTCCCAGGCCTGACAGTCACATGGATCTGTGTGATGTGAGCCAGTAAGAAGTCTTCAACTTGAGAAGAGCTTAGGTGGCACCTGCGGTGTTCCTACATGCACAGCTTCACCGACACGGCCACCAGAAGCCCTCGTAAGACATGCAGGGCAGGATCCAGGCATGGCGCCGAATCACCTGTCAAAAGCCCTGAAACTGCCTCCAACACACAGCAGACGTGGTCCGTGCAGGCAGAAAGTCACTGGCCTGAGTGTGGGACATGCTGAGGGAAAACAGTCTAGGTTCACACCTGTCAGGGCGGTGAGATGGTTACTCCTGAGCTGACTCAGGAACTGAGTCCAACTGAGGTCAGACAACTCCCTACCCTCATCTCGCCCCACTGAACAGACCTGTCCGGATAATCATTCCCACTGTTGTGTGTACATATATGTAAGACTGACCTTGTACGATGGGATTCCACTTCAGTGTCGTAAGTATTAAAAGAAAAAACCATTACAAATTTTAAAAGGCTTTCCCACTTTTGCTACTATTTCAGTTCATGGCAAAGGAGGTGTGTATGTGATGGGGGCAATGGTGGCAGAGACAGGTGGCAGAGGCTGACCAGGCTGAGGAAGGCGGCCACCTGGGAGGTCAGTAGCTGGGAGCAGGACGCCAGAGCTCAAGCATGGAGAGGAGGATCTCCTCCAGGAGGAGCAGCCTGACACAAGGCTCGGAGCCCAAGAGGAGAGAAGAAGGTTCCCTGGTAAGTCAGAGCTCAAGCAGCGTAGGAGGGTGTCCGTGCAGTGACGGCCTGGCTCGGAGCGTCCGGACTCCAGAGGGGTAAAGAGAGTGTTTAAGTTGGGGCAAGACCTGTCTCAGGGTAAAAAAAGAATCTGTGTAGGGGAAAAGAGGTGGACTGATTGGTTTTAGAGCCCAAGAGGAGTCAAAAGAGCATCTGGAAGGCAGTCCCGTGGTGGTGGGAGGCTTCCATGGAGGGTGGCCAGACAGATTCCAAGCAGCTGAAAAGGGTGTCTCTGGTAGGAGGCAGTGGCAGCACATACATCCATCAACGGGGGAGAAGGTCCGAGTACCAGGTATTACAGGGCGGCACTGTACCAAAATTAATACTAAGTTACTGATTTTGATTATTGTAATGTAGTTATGTAAAAGAATGTGCCTTTTTGAAACTAAGCATTAAAGTATTTGAGGAATTACTGGATATTACTTTGGCAATACTTCCCAAATGGGGCATTTATATTGTATTTGCGACTTTTCAGTAAGTTTTTGTTATTGTTTCAAAATTAAACTGGAGAAGAAAAAATCTAAAGGGTCTCTTCTTCCATCAAAATACCATAAGTGGATCAACTATTAGGTTGTTGGAAAAGTTATGACGTATTTTTTCTATGTTTTTCATTGCAAAAATGCATCATGACTTTTACCACAGCCCAACAGAATATACAGAATGGCATGAGTTGAGAAAATAAAATCTTAAAATGGTGGCGGGCCCGCTGAGTGGCTCAGTTGGCTGAGAATTGGCTTGGGAGCACAAACTCTGAGCAGCAGGGACGCCGGTTTTCGATTCCCACATGGGCCAGTGACGCTGCGCAGGAGCTGAGCTGTCACTGAGCTGCCAAAAGGTGGCAGGATGGCCCAGCTGGTGTAACAAAAAGATGGCCTGTTCGATGGTGGGCCACGCCCACCTGCAACTAAGACTGAACTCAGCACCTTAAGCTGAGCTGCCACCCGGATGGCTCAGTGGATAGATTGTGCACTCTTAACAACAAGGCTGCTGGTTCGACTCTCGCATGGGATTGTGGCTACACCCAACTGCAACTAAGATTGAACAAAGCACCTTGAGCTTAGAGCTGCCGACAGGAAGCCAGATGGCAACTGGCGCCCTCCACAACGAAGACTGAA